GCGGGGCCGTCACGAAGGGACGGCGGGGCCGTCAGGAGGTGACCGGGCCGCGACGGGGGCAGGCGGCGGGGCCGCGTAAGGGCCTGGGCGGGGCCGCGACAGAGCCGTCGGCGGGGCCGCGTGAAAGCCGGGGCGGGGCCGCGTAGAAGCCGGGGCGGGGCCGCGCGAGAGCAGGCGGCGGGTCCGCGAAGGAGCCGGGGCGGGGCCGCGTGAGAGCAGGCGGCGGAGCCGCGTAAGGGCCTGGGCGGGGCCGCGACAAAGCCGTCGGCGGGGCCGCGTGAAAGCCGGGGCGGGGCCGCGTAGAAGCCGGGGCGGGGCCGCGCGAGAGCAGGCGGCGGGTCCGCGAAGGAGCCGGGGCGGGGCCGCGTGAGAGCAGGCGGCGGAGCCGCGTAAGGGCCTGGGCGGGGCCGCGACAAAGCCGTCGGCGGGGCCGCGTGAAAGCCGGGGCGGGGCCGCGTAGAAGCCGGGGCGGGGCCGCGCGAGAGCAGGCGGCGGGGCCGCGAAGGAGCCGGGGCGGGGCCGCGTGAGAGCAGGCGGCGGGGCCGCGACAGAGAGGGCGGCGGGGCCGCGTCAGTGAAGGCGGCGGGGCCGCAGGGGAAATGGCGACCCGAGGGGTCGCTAAAAAAAAAGATCGCGCCTCGGGGGGCGCTTCGGTGGGCCCAAAAAAAAAACGGTCCGTAGAAGGACCCGCTCTATACCATGTGAGAATAAGCGAACAGGAATGAATGAACTAGCAGTGAAATGAGTACAAGTAGGAAACCCTAGAATTGTGTACCCCCTATAGACTAACCCACTGTAGCCTACACAAGCATAACATATATAATGTTTGACAAGGTGCTCCCAGGAACGACTCCGTTTGAAGCATGGAGCGGAACGAAGCCGAACCTATCACGCCTACGCACCTTTGGGTGCCTTTGCTACTACCATGTACCGGATCCCGTTCGCCACAAGTTGCGAAGGCTCGTGCGGTGATCTACTTGGGAATTGCGGCGAACGAGCGTGTGTGGCGAGTGTGGGTTTTGGGCGACAAGCGCGTCGTCACATCTCGGGATGTGGTCTTCGACGAAGACAAGTTCCCGAACCAACGCCGCAACTCACCGTCGTCCTTCTCGCACGAGAGGAGGATGAAGCAGTGGAGGTTCCATCACAAGTGGAAAAGGAAGCCGAAAATGGAGGGGGAGAGAACGAGGAGAGCGACGACGACGTGGTGGAGGTGCCACCAACCGAGGCGGCAACTTCCTCCACACCTTCCTCCCTCCCATTGGCATTGACCCGTGAGCAACGTATACGTCGCCCCAATACGAAGTACAACGACTACGCTATGGTGATGACCCTCGCATCCATACCGAGGCTTTGGCTTCTCTAGATGCGCCACTATGGAAACAAGCGATGGAGACGGAACTAGCCTCGATCAAAGAGAACGACGTGTTTAAGCTCGTCGACCCGCCGAAGGGTGCCTACTTGGTGGGGTGCAAATGGGTGCTTAAGAAGAAGTTGGGAGCCGATGGGAATGTCGAACGCTACAAGGCGAGGCTTGTAGCTCAAGGCTAGACTCAACTGGAGGGGGAGCACTATAGCGAGACCTTCGCTACCGTCGCTAAGGCTACAACTCTTCGGGTGTTGCTCGCGCTAGCGGCATCTCTCGACCTCCAGGTGGAGCAATTGGACGTTTGCACCACCTTCCTCTACGGGCTTCTCATGGAAGAGGTCTACATGCGGCAACCCCCGGGGTACGATGACGGTAGCGGAAGGGTGTGGAAGCTCAAGCGTACCCTCTACGGCTTGAAGCAAAGTCCACGCGGATGGTACAAGCGCATCGACGACTTTCTTCTTCAACACGGCTTCGCGCGTAGCGAGTGCGATAGCGCTTTATACATGTTGAAGGAGAGGGAGAAACAATTGGTGCTTTTGCTCTACGTCGATGACCTACTCCTCTTCTTCGACTCCAAAGACCTCATTCGGGAGGTCAAGCAACGGCTAGGGGCGGAGTTTGCGATGAGGGACTTGGGGCCGGTCACGTACTACCTTGGGATGCATGTCGATCGTGACCGAGCCAACGGGACCATCCACCTCCACCAGGAGAAGTATGTGAAGGGGGTAGTGGAGAGCTTCGGCATGGGCGATAGCAAACCGGTGGGAACACCACTAGCTACAGGATTTTCTTGCCTCACGGGAGAGGAAGAATCCACCCTCAACGAAGCCGAAGTGAAGCGGTTTCATTCGCTAGTGGGCTCGCTCATGTATGCCGCCGTTTCTACTCGCCCCGACCTCGTATACGCTGCCGGGGTGCTTGGACGAGTCGTGAGCAACTCTCATACCGAGCATATGCGCGCGGGAGGATGCATTCTACCTACCTCCAAGGCACACCTAACTTGGGGCTCGTGTATGAAGCCGGCCCAATTGAGCTCAAGGGCTATGCCGACTCGGACTACGCGGGAGATCAGAGCACACGCAAAAGTACCTCCGGGTATGTCTTCACCTTGCTTGGGGCAGCCGTGAGTTGGCAAAGCAAGAAGCAACCAACCGTGGCTCTAAGCTCAACGGAAGCGGAGTATATGACACTCACTCAAGGTGCCATGGAGGCAATATGGTTACGACGTCTTCTAGCAGAGCTTGGGCATCCTCAACCCAACCCAACTCCTCTCTTTTGTGACAACCAAGCCGCCATAAGCCTCTCTCACAATGCCGTCCTTCACGGGCGAACCAAGCATATCGAAGTGAAGCATCACTTCATTCGTGAGGCGGTTGAGAAGGGTGAGGTTAAACTCACTTACGTGAGCACCAAAGCTCAACCCGCGGACTTCCTCACTAAACCACTCCCTAAGGATTCATTCCGTGCATGCTGCGAGCGTGTTGGATTGAGCACCTAGTGGCTTGGGTGCAAGGGGGAGTGTTGGAGGTTGAGTGAGGCAAGGTTTTGCCCCCAACCACCGAACGGTGCTTCTCAAGTGCTCCAAGAAGTTTGGCTTCACTGCAGGTTTCGAGAAGGTGCAGGTTGACTTCGAGAGACTTGCATTTCGGTGCCACATGGCAGCACAAGAAGAATCGAGACTAAGGGAGAATTCGATTCGGTGAAATTCAAGACTCGAATTTCACCCCTTTGAAATGTTACTCGAACATTCGAGTGTACTGCGGTTCGAGGTTACACGTGCGGTTCGATGCTGATTGCATGCTATAAAACTAGTAGCTTTGTATGCATGTTTCATAATGAAAATCAGAGTTTCCTATACGCGGTTCAACTCAACACAAAATCCAGAGAGCTCCTATCCTACGTTCTAAGAGCACCACCTAGCACGTGAATGCCTATATCTCGGCGGATACTTAGGCGATCAACGTGTTCTACGGCTCGTTGGAAAGCCAACAGAGTGCTCCATCGTTTAATACAAATCCCAGTTCTTGCAAAGTAGAGGAAATTCCTCTACAGCATATGTGCGACAAAAGATGGACCGGGGTTAAGAAGATCTCACCCCGCCATAAGTCGCAGACTCCATGCGTTCAGCTTTAGCTGTGTCCGCCTTAGTGACGGGCCGGCTCTTCTCCTCCGCGCTCAGCTGCTCCCCCGGCACCACGTCCCCCATGCGGATCGCCGCTCCCGCTCCAGCCGCCGGACCGCCGCCAAACGCGCCGGGAGCGGCGGAGGGAACGCCATGTGTCTCATGCGCGGCAGTCCCGACGGTCGGCGCGGGGGGCTGCTCGGCGGCGGGCTTGCGGGTTCGCCTCTGCTGCTGCGCCATGAATACTTGTCGATTCTGGAGCCGCGGAAACCGATCGGAGATATTCCCAACGAGTCGTCGTACAGCCGCTTTGTTTTGAAGTGGATGCGTCGAAGTCGGGGAGAAACTACTCACTTGAGTCAAAGAGTGAGAATTCGCGCGAGGAGCTCGGGATGACAACGCAACTACTAACAGCGGCTCTTATGCTACACCGGCATACTCCTACATCGTCGCCTCGCCGACGCGCGTTCGAGCCGCGTTACCGCCGCAATTGGAGATGTTGGGACGGGAATCGCCATGCGGGGTGCGTGGTAGAAGAATGAGGAATGGATTCGGACGGATGGCGTCGCGATGGTCATGCCGGCTCAGCTTGGCTCGGCGAGGGTGACAAAGCCAGAGCAGATGCAGCAAGACTTGTTCTCAGGCTTTACAGAACATGTGTCGCTGGGATAGGGCAGGAAGTCTCTCGCGTGCATGGAGTCTCATAAGCATGTGCCAGTAGGAGGAAGGACCTCAGCTCAGCTCAACCTCCAAGCTTCTGTCCACTAATGAGGTGCCTGTGTGGGCATAAAACCAAGATTGCGTGGCGAGGCCAGGCAGGGGATGGAAGTGAGAGAAACCGAGAAATGGATTCCGGTTTGAAGGGGGGTTTGTTCGGTTCGATGTATTCATGCGCGGTGATGCACCAACCTCTGGTATGATAGGGGAGGTTCGTTTCAGCAGAAACCCCACCCAAACGTACCGAAGTGTAGATGAACCGCTCAAACACGCACAGAATCGTATCCATCCTCAAATGTCAAACGCTCCCACGCTCGAACTCAGCTCCCGAACTGCTCGACTCTCTTTCACCCCGTGCATGACACACCCTGAACCTCCAACTCACAGCACAGCACCTCGCTCACAGCACAGTCTCGTACCATTCTCGCTTCGCCAACTTTCACAGGCATCAGACGTGCGGCTCCTTCGGCGCGCACTGAGCGCCCTTCTGCCGCGCATCTCGTCAAGCGTGGAGTCTCAAATGAATTTGTTCAACGAGGGCTCTTCTCCTTGGCCGCGCTGCCTCGATCCCGATCCTTTCGCACGTCTGTCGGATGATCTCGTGGCGCACATTCTTGCGCTTGTCGCCTCTAACGGTTTCCGCTTCCACCCCAAGCCGCGCCTCACAACCGCCACTGCTACTTCTGGCACCACCACCGCCACTGCCTCACTGTCGCCGTTTCTACCGCTGCGAAAGCTAATGCTGGTGGAGACGGGAGCAACCGTGCTTCTGCGGAGCGTGCCGATGGGATGGCTGGAAACGTGGGGATTGCTGTTAACGGGTCGGCCAACAGCGAGGACAAGGATGTGCATGGCGACGCGAGCGAGGACGAGCTGCACGAGCGCATCGCGCGGGCAGTGAAGAAACCGTGCGCGCGTTTCATACGCGTTATCCAGCTCACCACCGCCATAGCCCTCGAGGCTGAGGCGACCGCCGCCAACTACGCTCGAACCATGACACTCCACATCGACCCAGACGATCCCGACACGCCGTCATCTGCGCATATCCTCGCCTCCGCCTATCCGCACCTCCGCGGACTCCGCGTCCCTCACCTCGCTGAAAATCGGCGGCTGCGTGGCTCTCCGGCAGCTGCCCGACGGCCTCGGGCAGCTAAAATAACTGCAGCGCCTGGAGCTGGCGAAGTTAGATTCTTTGCAATCCCTGCCTGACTCCATCGGCCTCTTATCAACCCTCCATCTGCGCGACATCAATGCCGCCTCTCTCCCTGACTCCTCCGCCCACCTCTCCTCTCTCAAACGCCTCCATCTCTCCCACCTCTCGCACATGCCCTCGCTCCCTGCCTGCGTTGGAAAGCTGCCATCGCTGCAAGAAATGGAAACCAAGTTTTGCGCTCGCTTGACTGCTCTCCCGCCATCGCTCGCTGCCCTCTCCTCCCTCACTGCTCTCACCATTCAGCACTGCGAGTCTTTTGCCTCCTTACCGGAGGATATCGGTGACGTTCCCCGCCTCGCATCCCTAGTCCTCGACAACCTCCCCTCCCTTGCCGCAATTCCGGACTCTCTCGCTCTCCTCTCCTCCCTAACGCACCTTCACGCAGCGCATTGTCAGGATCTAGTGTCGCTGCCAGCGTCTTTCGCGGGACTGTCCTCTCTCTCTCGCCTGCAGCTTCTCGAATGCTCCTTGGAGTTGCTGCCCGAAGATTTCGGGCAGCTGCCCGCGCTGACGGAGTTGCATCTGAGCCAAATTGCGTGCGACCTGCCCGATTCGTTTGGGCAGCAGTTGCTGAAGCTGAGGCGTCTCACTATTACTGCTTATATCGGTTACGTATTTCTGCCAATCACTCTGTCCCAGCTTGAGAGCCTCACTATCCAAAGCTGCGAGAATATGGATAACCTGCCCGAAACTATCGGGCAGCTGACAGCCCTTCGCACAGTAGAAATAGCTGGATGCGAACTGCTGGAAACCCTTCCTTGAGTGCTTTTCGCAACTGCCCCGCCTTGAAAGCCTTACTCTCGGATGGAAGCGTTTGGTAACTATCCAGGATGATCGGAAGCTAGGTCGTCAAACGTACATGTTTCACCCTGTACGTTCAGACAACAACAACAATAACAAGGAGGATCAGGAGGACGAAGACGCACCGGACACAGTATTCACTCGCCTGCCGAGCACGTTCGGGCAGCTCGCGAACTCCTTACCTGCTTTGGAGATCCACGGGTGCCATGAGCTTAAGCAGCTGCCAGCATCGGTCACCCAGCTGACTCGCCTGCAGCGGCTGTGCATCTCCAACTGCCATAAGCTGAGACGCATGCCGGCAGGGTGGGGCAACCTTGTGGGATTGCAGGAGTTAGAGCTCTCGCGCTGCAAGCTGCTGCAGGCGCTGCCACCACTTACCCCTCTTCCTCCTCCTGTTGCTGCTGTTTCTTCTGCTACTGCTGCGTCTGCTCCTGAGGCTGTTGCCGCTGCTGCTGTTTCTGCTGCTGCTGCCGCTTCCCACGTTCCTTCCATTGAGCCTACTCCATGTTCCGGTGACACAGACCCCTCTCGGCCTTCACCCCAGCCCTCCTCTCCCCACCCCCTCCCATCCCTCCGCCGCCTCCTCATCCTCAAATTCCCCCCTCTCTCCTCCCTCCCTTCCGGTCTCCACCTCCCCTCCCTACTCCACCTAGACATCCGTGACTGTGTCAAATTCACCAGCCTCCCTCCCTCTCCCTCGCCCTCGCCCTTCCCACCCACCCTGCAAGTCCTAATCCTGTCCCACATGCTAAGGGACACCGGAGACATGCAGCAGGCCATCTCTCACCTCTCCTCCCTCCAGCACGTGCGTATCGAACATATCCCAACTCTCAAAACCGTTCCCGTTCTATCCTCCCTGGAAACCCTTTCTCTCTGACTTGCCCCTTATCTCCCCCCTCTCAATACCCAACATCCACACATTACAGAAACTCAGAATTCTAACCCTCCACACCCTCCCCTCACTCTCCCCCCTCCCTCACTCAATCACAGCCCTCTCTCACCTCCAGCGCCTGCATCTCAGCTGCATGGAATTTTTCAACCTGCCCGAGGACCTCGGGCAGATGCAAGGGCTGCGTGTACTAACCATAGACACCGCGCCGAAGCTATCAACGCTCCCCGCCTCCCTCACCCTCCTCACCTCCCTGCAGCACCTCATGGTCTCTGACTGTGACACATTCTCCTCTCTACCAGAAGCAGGATTCGGCAATCTTGCCTCTCTCAATTCTCTCACGCTCAACAACCTGCCGCTGCTGCTCAAGCTGCCTGCGGCTGTCTCACACCTGGCTTCGCTACAGGTGCTGGAAGTGCAGGAGTGCAAAACATTCAGCGAACCGCCCGAAGGGTTGGGGAGTGCGAGGAGTTTGCGCGATGTGTATCTGGAGAGGTACAGCCAGTTGGAGGATTTGCCGGTGGCGCTGCTAAAGCAGCCAGAGCGGATTCAGGTGAATGTGAGAGATTTATGATTGCCATGCCAGCTTGGAATGCGTACGGTACATTTATTTCTAGTGGGCTGGTGTGTCTATCAATAGTTTCTTTATTCCCAGGAGCATAATTGCTTCATGGTACCTGGGAATAGCCACCTCATCAGTCGCTCCATTCCATGCCCTTCTAAGGTACTGATACCTAGATCATTTTGGTGACTAGACAGTTCCTGCTAAAAGGTACGGTAAAGCCCCAGACACAGTTCCTGCTAAGGGATGGTGGTTGGGATCGAAGCACCATTTCCAATTTTACAAAACACCATCGAACTGATGGTACTGCTACTGGTAATTCCATCCATAATTCCATTCATGCTCTGCAAACCAGGCTGAATCTGTAGCTGGTGTCTCCCTGTCAGCAGCTAAGGCAGTAAGGTCCAGTCCAGACCCTCGTCTCAGGCACCCTTGCTATGCGTCTCCCCAGCAGTGGCACCAGGGGCGCCTGCAGAGCCCGACTCCAGGGATCCCGTGCGAGCAGAGGCCTTCTCGCCTTTCATGGGCGGCACCACCCCCGCCTGCACGTTCTTGTCCGCAGCTGACTGCAGCGTGGCTGCTGTTCCGCCCTTCACGGGCTGCAGAAAGGGGTGAAGGTGGCAAGGGAATGTGGAGATTGAATGGAGAGTAGCACGCAAGCACTCTGAAACGGCAGAGCGGGTGAGGCACCGTAAGAAGGCTCCCAAGACGGGACAAGACAAAACGAACACAATAATAGTGGTTGGCACAGCATGGAGAGATAGAAAGGCTCCCAAGACGGGACGAGACAAAAAGAAAACTCGCCACGCCATGAGCTGCAGTCTCCTCGCGTTGCGCTTCAGCGGCGCCCGCCTTAGTGACGGGGCGGCTCTTCTCCTCCGCGCTCAGCTGCTCCTCCGGCACCACGTCCCCCATGCGGATCGGCGCGCCCATGCCCGCCGTCGGCCCGCCCTCCATGCCTTGAATCGGCCCCACTGACGTTTCTTCCGCGCCCGCGCTACCGCCCCGCGCGCCTCCGCCACCGAGCCGCACTTGCTCGCCAGTCGACCCGGCGCCTGCGGCGCCGCGCTCGGGCGCGCCGGGGTCCGCGCCGGTGGTGACGGAGGTGATGCCACGTGTCTGCTCCGCGGCGCTAGTCTCGTTGGATTTGGATATCGGGCCGCCCGTCTGCTCCTCGGTGGGCTCGCGGGTTTGCCGCCGTGGCTGACGCTGCGCCATGTGATGCAGATTTAAAGGAACAGCGATGAAGGAACAGCAGTCTTGATTCGTACCTTAGGTTGCCACAGAGTGGAGAAACGGGACTCGCTGAAAGCAACACCAACGATTGAAGATGGAGATAAGAGAGGAAAATCAGATGCGCAAATCACGACGATTTTCCTTGGTGGCGAGGCGACGTTATTCATACTAACCCGACCGCCGAGTCAATCAGTTTGGACGGAGCGGACCCAGCGACTCGAGATGTTGTGATGGGACGAAAGGGAGCATAATAAATTTGACGACATCGCGTCTTTCCTGCAGTGATGCGAGCGTGCTAGCGTGCATGGGCGGAGGCCACGCAACACGTGGTGGCCACTTCATACGAGCGGCAGCCATGCCAGCTCGGGTAAGCCGTGAAAGACGGAGGCCGACTTGGCTGTGCATGTGGGTTGGTTGCATATTGGGTCTGAATCTGAATAAGGGCGTGTCTCCATTTTTCCCTCGAGGGCTCGAACCGTGGACAGTCCGAACTGCGAAAGGGTGATCTGTTCGCCCGATTTCGAGAAGGACTTCGTGAAAGTACTTGCGACGTCGTCAACGGCTCGAACCGTCGCGTCACTTTTCCCGCTCCACAACGGCTCACATTTCGAACCGTCCGCCGCTCAAAAAGCAAACGGTCGCTACAACAGTTCTGACGCAGGATTGGCGGGCGATAACCAAATGTTTTAAATTGTCGCAGGGCTTGCGCTCTTGGCGAGTAGGCATGACTTCGGTTACGGGGATATAGTGTGATTGACGAAGCAGCAGTACTTCGTCTTTTTGCGAAGGTGAAAAGGTGACGCATTTGGATTCGGACGGTCTGCAGTTTCGAATTCTCAAAGTGGACTGTCCGTTACGCGCTATTAGGACCGCCCGAAACAAAATGCGTGGACCGTCCGAGAAATCGTAAAAAGCAAAATGGAGACACGCCCTAAGAAGACGAGACGAGACCTGGCCTGATGAGTGAGAGGTTGGGTAGGTTGGGTTGGGTGTGATGAGGGTACTCTGGGAACATTGTTGTGCAGTTAGGGGTGGCTACTTGAAAAACGATTTCTGAATAGCATATTAACGCGTATGCAACTAAAACATTCCGTCACCACCTTCAGCGTTTACTGCAGAATCTGAAGTCCTCCCATCACTGCATCGCATCGCACACCTCCTAACCTGCATGGCTCTCATCTCTGCTTGCCTTTCTTGTGCTGCCACGTACGATAGATAACTCCCGCTCCCGCCGCTCCACTGTCGTTGAAACCGCTCCCGGGGAACCATAATCTCCGGCACACTCTCTCTGCAATGGACGGTGGGTCTAGTGCGTCCTCATGGTCTCCTTTCCTATATGTTGCAATTGCAAGCTTTGTTATTGAACCCGATTTCACTCGAGCCTCGTCTTACAGCCAGGTTCCACTCAGAACCCTTCAATTTCCCGCACACAGCCACCAATTAGTCACCCCCTCCTACTCCACAAAGCTCCCCGCGCGAATCTCTCCCGCTGTTCCGCCTCTCGCGTCGCCATGTCGCAGGAGCAGGAAAAACTCCAAGAGCGAAAGGCAGAAGTCGCGGAGCGCGGCGGCTTGGAAGCCCTGGAGAAGGACATGGCGCCGCTGGGAAGAGCCGCGGACAAGCCCGTCACCATGGGTGACGTCATGCCCCAGGCCACCCTGAGGGACGAAGACGTGGGTCGGCCTGTGACTAAGGAAGACGCGGCTAAGCAGCAGAGCGCGGAGGAGAAAATGAACGTTGAGGTAATACTAGTAGGTCAAGACTATTGGTGTGTACTTTATTGTATACAGTAAAGTTAAGACTCGCATGCTCTCACTTCGGCCCTGTTCACCCTCATCTTTCTCTCTCCCTCTTCCTCCCTCTCCAACCACCTCCCCCCCCATCTCTCTCCTCCCTCTTCCTCCCACTCTCCCTGCATGCGCAGATACACTCTGGAGGGCCTGCGGCCACTCTGCAGTCTGCAGCGGATAGCAACGTGCAGGCAGGGTTCGTGGGAGCGGGGCAGGGCAAGGAGGACTTGATGGGGACCAAGTGAGCCTGCGCATGTGGGGGGAATGGATGCATAAGCATTCTCTGAGAAGTGATTCGATACTTGAGGCAGTGCTGACATTGTACCGGTAGCAAGTGCCATGTCTGTACATAAGATACTGATTGTCTGTAAAAATCTCGCATTTTTCAGCGTGTTGCACTCTTTTGGAGCGAGCACTTTACCGATGTGCCTATTGCCTGATCTCCAAATATATATTTCAAAGGGACAATCAAGAAACAAGTATATTCACACCCTACATATTCTCTATCCCATCATTTGTTTCCTCCTGAACCTAACTCAAAGTCCTCGTGCTGCGCGCACAGCACGATCAGCCCTCGCGGCAACAACAGCCCAAAGCAGCTGGGCAAATGCGAGCCACACACACCAGCCGGCAATGCATCCGACAGATATTTCCACCCGCACCATGAAGCTCTTGACCAGCAGCAGCGGCGGAGCACTGTGCACAGCAACCATTCCCATGCAGCCCGCCCCCGCCACCATGCAACCAGCCTTATCCCCACTGCAGCAGCGATCAGCAGCAGCAGGAGCAGCTCCAAGAACCCCATTGCCACCACCCGCATCTCCCCCTCCCCTTCCTCCCCCTCCTCCCTCTCCTCCCGCACCTCCTCACACGCTGAGACAACAGAGACGTTCTCATCATCACCTTGGTGTCAGAATGAGGAATGAGTGTTGCATTGATGTTGGTTGGGGTACATATGACAAACCCTAACTTCTGTACCCCCTAAGACAAACCTCACTACAGGCTACAACATTTGACACACCCCCATAGCCTAAGTGAGGGGTGTCTAGCAAAAACAAAAAGAGTACGGTCACAAGACCAGTCCAAAAGAAAACAAAGCTCAGGGTGGATCACAACGTCACCACACACTCTGAGCACAAGCAACAGTGGCCACAAGGCCAGTCCAAGAGATCACAAGTATATATAGTAAATGTACAGACGAAGCAGGCAATAAACTCAAGTCTACGCATGACTAGAACCTGTGTCAACAAGGCCTAACTGCACACAACACCTCTGGTGGTCACAAGGCGGAAGCGCCTTGGTGAAGATGTCTGCAGTGTTGGCCTCGGACTCTACGAACTCGAAGCGAGCCTGTCCACGCCTCTGCAACTCTCGCAGAAGAAAGTACCTGATGTGAATGTGCTTCACTCTGCTCTCCAGTCGCGGCTCACGACAGAGGAGGATCGACGCCTTGTTGTCAGTAAACAAGGTCGGTGCAGAGCTCGGCCGCTCACCAAGGTCAGTGAGCAAGAAGGTCAACCACCGCAACTCCTGTGCCGCCATGGCACCAGCGTAAATCTCAGCCTCAGCTGTAGAGGTCGAGACAGAAGAGGAGCGCGTGGAACGCCAGGAAACAGCTCCAGAACCCAGACTGAAACAGTACCCCTGAGTAGACCTGTGAGTCTCAGCGTCGTCAGCGTAAGAGGAGTCACAGTGACCAGTGAGTACGACAGACTGCTGCCCTCCAAGAACTAGCCCCACGCCTGATGTAGTCGCTAGGTACTTCGCCACCCTCACAGCTGCCGTCCAGTGAACAGGACGGTGTCTCCCTGGCGCAACAAAGCGCGCAAGGATGCTGAGAGGGAAGGCGAGGTCCGGGCGAGTACAAGTCATCAGGTACATGAGGCAACCCACAAGCTCTGCGTAGGGACCACTAGGCTCAAACGGCTCGTCAGGAAAGGGACCAGTGAGTCTGTGGTCAACAGCTAGAGGTGTGCGCTGTACGGTGGAGTGCTGAAGCCCGAACCGCTGAAGGACCTGCTGCACCATGTGTGACTGTGAGAGTGTAATGGTGCGAGCGGCTCTGTCCCTGGTGATCTGCAGGCCAAGGTAGTGGCGCAGTTCACCAAGATCAGTGCACGTATGTCTCTTCTGCAGTTCGGACTTCACGTCTGCCAAAGCAACCCTGTCCGGAGTGGCGAAAACGAGGTCGTCGACGTAAACCAGAACAAAGAACGGTGTGGAGCCACGACGAACGAACAGCGACGGGTCGGCAGAAGACGGCTGGAACCCAAGGTCAGAGAGGGTAGAACGCAGAGTGTCGTGCCACTCACGAGGGGCCTGGCGAAGACCGTAAACAGGTCGCCTCAGCCTCCACTGGGTCCCAGGAGGGAAGGTGCCAGTGAAGGCCGAGGGACGACGCAACCAGACCTCCTCGTGTAGGCTGCCCTGAAGGAAAGCAGTGGAGAAGTCAAGAGAGTGTAACTCGTAGTCTCTCTGTGCTGCTACGTGTAGTAACACCCGAAGAGTGGTCATCTTCGGGGTAGGTGCGAAGGTCTGAAAGAAGTCAACTCCCTCGCGCTGACTGAAACCTCTAGCCACGTAGCGCGCCTTGAAGACCGGGGGAGATCCCGGTGGCCGCTTCACCCTGTAGATCCACATGCCGTCGACTACGTTCGCCCCCGGGGGGGGAACCTCATCGACGTAGGTGCCTGTGGATCTGTAGGAGGCCATCTCTGCGTCCATGGCAGCTCTCCACTGAGAGGCCCAAGGCCCTGACACTGCCTCAGCGTAAGTGCGAGGAGTCGGAATGTCAAGGGCGTCGGGGTCACCCTCAGGGGCGAGGAGCATGGCACAGAGATGAGGGGAAGCGGCCGCCAGGAACTCTAGCTCAAACTGCCTGTCCTCTAGGGCGTCACGGCCAAGGGCAGACACACCCCCGACGGCCAGAGGACTGGTAGGAGGAGCAGCCACAAGCGTGGTGGCGTAGTCAAGGCGGCGGGTAGAGGCAAAGTCAGTAACTGCGGCAGTAAGAGCGGACACAGAGGACACAGAGGCACGAGGGTGAGTAACAAGAGAGGCGAGAACACGAGAGAGAACAGGACGGTACGTGCGGTAGTAGTCAGTGACAGGAGTAGGGAGCGACACAGTGAGGGCCGACTCAGGAGGAGACGGAAGCACAGACTGAGACGGACGAGGTGGACTAGAAAGAAGGAAGGCAGTACGAAGGTCAGTGAAGGGAACAGGAGACGAGGGACGAGCACGAGGGGAGCGACGAGTAGCCCAAGAACGAGACGGAGGAGAAGAGGACAAGGGCGGAGAACTGGGGAAAACAGCGGGGGAGGAGTCAGGAGGAGGAAACGTGGGACCGTAGACAGGAGGAGAGGCGGAGGAGGGAGGAGAAGGGGAGGGGAGACCAAGGATCCGAAGACCCGAGACAGGAGGAGGAAGTGGCTGCTGCTGCTGCGGCTGCGACTGCTGCTGCTGCGGACGCGGCTGCTGCTGGGACTGCTGCTCCTGCGGGTCCAGCTGCTGCTGCTGCTCCTCCAGCCGCTGTAACTCCCTCTCCTCTCTCTCCAACGCCAGCTGATCGTCACGGGCACGGCGAACACGAGCCTGGTGCCTAGTCGGGTAGGGGTGGGGGGGCGGAGTAGTGTCCGAAGCAGCGGCAGCTCCAGAGTCCACTCCAGAAGAACTAGGCTCACCACCCCCAGAGGCAGCACTAACACCAGCTCCAGACCCAGGCTCACCTGAACCCAAAGGAGGCGCACCCTCACCCCCAGACGCAGCACCCCCAGTGTCCGCGCGGCCAGCACCAGCTCCCGGACGACAAGCGTCCTCTGCACCCACCTGGTCAGCTCCAACTCCAGAACCAGAAACTCCAGCTCCAACCCCAGCTCCAACTCCAGCACCCCCAGAACCAGAAACTCCAGTGCCAACTCCAGCTCCAACTCCAGCTCCAACTCCAGCTCTAACTCCAGCACCCCCAGAACCAGAAACCGGTACAGGAACAGGCGTCGCACCAACCTCTCGAGAGCTAGCACCAGCGGCACGCTGCGAGGAGGACTGTGGGGAGGGAGGCTGTACCGGAGGGGCTACCGAAGGAGGAGGGGTAGCCTGGGACACACCTGACGGGGCTGGACCAGGGGGGGGAGGCTGTACCGGGGGAGCAGGAGGGGGAACGGCAGTCAGGAAGAGGGGGGGAGGAGGAACCGGGAGACCTCGACTGGGGTACCTGACGTAGTACGGAGTGGACTCCTCGAAACGGACGTCACGGGAGTCAAAGAACCGGTGAGAGGGAGGGTGGTAAAAGGTGAAGTCAGAGGAGTCCTCAGGGAAACCAAGGAAGACACAGGGGACGGCACGAGGCGAGAGCTTGTCCGCGGAGGTGTCGCGGACAAGAGCCAAGCACCCCCAGACACGAAACCGCGACGCAACACCAGGGAACCCTGTCCAAAGACTGGTCGGTGAAACCTCTGGTCGAGAGACACGTGGCCAGAGGTTCAGCTGGTGCGCGGCGTACCTGACCGCGTAGGGCCACAGAAAATGGGGGGCACAGGCGTGAGTCAGGGAGGTGCGGGCGATCTCCATGACCAGGCCTATGCGGCGCTCAGCAACCCCATTCTGCTGTGGGGACTCTGGAAGCGTCCAGGACTGACGAATGCCCTGCTCGCGACAGAATCCAGCGAGAATGCCGGAGCGAAACTCACCCCCACGGTCGGAGTGGAGACAGCTGACACGACGACCACGAGTGTCCTCGGTGGTGAGCAACCACCTGATCAGCGTAGAAGTCACCTCAGACTTCTTCGCCAGAGGGAACACTGTGGTGTAGCGGGAGAAGTCGTCAACGACCACCAGAAAGTAACGCTCACGCTCAGGGCCTAGACGAGGGGCTGGGCCCCAGACGTCCAAGTGAAGCGTCTCAAAAGGCTCGGTGGCCGGACGAAGGGAGGAGGAGTGAGGGGTGGCGCGCAGCCTACCCTCGACGCAGGGACGACACGGCGGCGCAGGCGAAGGCGGCAGCGACGGCAAGACACGTGGGAGGCCTAGGACAAGACGCTGACTAGACATAGCGCGCAGACGTGGAAGGGACGGGTGCCCCATCCGGTGGTGCCACAGAACGGTGGGGTGGGCAAGCGACCGGCAGGAGCACGACGCAGCGACTGGAACAGACGGAGGAACCTGACACGACACAGACACCTGGGGGGACGTAGCAACCTGGTGAGACGCGGGGACCCGAACGGGGGGGGGAACCGGGGGCAGTGGC